AATTGCAGCGGACACTTATAAAGAAAAAGGAATAACATTATACGAATTTATATATAATAGAATGAGATGCACACAAGCAGAATTTGAGCATGTAGACCAGCAAAAATTGGTAAATTTAGAAACAAGCATTATCATTCCCTTTTAATTAAGGTTATTCCCTACTACTCCCTACTGCGTTTCTGTGTACATATGCGTATACCGACAAATTGGCTATATACTTCCGTATGTGGGTACAAGAACTTGGAATAAGGAACAGTAAAGTCGAATTTTTACGGCTGTGTTAGAGTTCGCTGCAATTTTACGAGAATTTCTGACAGTCGCTTTATCGCCTTCCGAAACTCGTTCGTTTCGATGCTGGGGTAAATACCGCCTTATTTTGTTTTCGTTTACCGACTCACCGAAAGCAAAGTTGGACGATATCGACGACTATTTACGTGAACTTATTGCTAACGTAAACAAACGGAGTTACACCTTTGCAACTTTTGGCAGTAATTTACTCCTTAAGTTCAGACATTTCAGCTTTTCGTTACGTATAACTATGTGCTTCGATTTCGAAGCCAAATTGGCTCGTCTTAACGTCAAAGCGGGCAGTTGACTACCATAAGGTAAACTTTGATAATTCCGAACACCCTACCAACCGTGGAGAAATTGGAAGGGTGAAAAAAAATCGAACGCACAATTTTCTAAATCGAAAAAGGAGCGAACATTCACTTTTATTGGACAATACTTTCTCTCGAGAAATTCTTTTTCTATCTAAAAGTTTAAGCAGTATTTCGACAGTATTTTCAGTGTAATGTTTGTAAAAGTTTTGAATTTATTCCAAACATTTGAAGAAATGTCATAATAAGGCAACACGCCAGTGACCAGGAATTTGAAGAATTCCACAGTTATTGAAAGATTGCGATTATGTCATCGACCTAGTCTGTACGAATCAGGCCAAGAAGTAAGGACAACAGCATAATGAGCTCTCTTGTACGAGTGCAATAACGAAAGGCTCGAGATATAGCTTATGACGTTTACATATATCATGCCGCGAAAAAAATGATATGAAAAAGTAATACACAAATTCTTAATCTACGTGTTTGAAAGTTTCGTACGCGCTCTGTCACTCACGTACAAGCATGTGTGTAATAAAATCAATGTATCGATTACCGTCGGCTCTTGTATAGTTCGCTCTGTATGCGCCGCGGGCTATCTATAATTAATCAATAGTCAGGACCGGCCGTAGCCATCCATTTAGGCGTCCTGTAGTACTTGGCAGCCTGGGTCGCCCCACCCCCCTAAAGCCGGCACCGTCAATAGTCAGCAACCGTTACTGAACGACACATAAATGATCGTACAACAAAAGGATTTCCAGATTTTTTTAAAAATGTTAAGAGCAGTTGGTATGACAGGTGTCCAAATAAATGAGCATTTATAAACGCAGAATGAGATAACTGGTTAGTGTTATTGTGTACAATAAATTTATTTTGTGCATTTGTTTAAATAAACACCTATTGAAACTTATATCCTACTATGTACGTAACTCTTCCTAATTTTCGTAAACGAGGTGGGAATTTTGGAGCTAATTTTAAATAACTTGTAATTGTTTTATTTTGCGGATAAACCAAATTGGTACCGTTTACAGCAAAAGAAACACAAAATAACAAGCTACACCACTGATTGCAGTATAATTATTGAAGAAAAATATGAAAGGAAAAACTGAAATAAAGAATTTCGATGTTGACCGTTAATTCCCACTTCAACCACCAAACGTTAACGAAAACAATTAAAAAAGCGTTACGTTTTCTTTAATATTTTGTTTTATACTTCGTTGCGTAAAAGGAAAGCTGAATTACCTTTCAAGCGTTCGACGATACAAGATAAGATTATTTTTGTCAAAATTTCTATCTGAAAGATGTCACGATCGCATAAAGCCCGTGGTGTATTGGTATTTTGTAACACTCCCTCGAGAAAGAAAAAAAAAAAACGAAAAAATGTAATCAAATAATGTGAAAGCGGATCGATGAAAAATGAGTCTTCGTTTGCTGTTATAATCAATCTATCACTTTGACGGCAACAATACGTGATAAAAATGAAATTGTAACGAATTAACAAGCAAACGAAAAATTGCGGATAAATATTTTGAATGGTAACATAAATAAATGCTTTTACCAAAGTTTAATTAATTTTTGGATACCTGTGCAGACAAATATACCTTTGAGTGCAATAGTGAGAGGCTCGAGATATAGGTTATGATGTTTATATTTATAATGTTGCGTCTTAAAAACAAAAGAAACTAAAGTACATATACACATTGTTATCAATAATTGGTTTTGACGTCTTAAAATGAATTTGTTTTTTAATATTTCGTTGAATATATACTATTTCTGATCAGTACTCCGTTGTTAATGTTGTTATCACCGTTACATATAACATAAACAATTTAGTTTTTGGTATTTTCAAGCCAATTGATAATTATGTTTTCTTTGAGTAAATAATTGAAAGTTTCACGGGGCTTGTCAACAATTTCGCAAATTATAAAATTATAAAAAAGAAAATAAAATAACCAATCACAAAATAAAACAGAATTGAGTATTGATCGAGATCAAGTAGATAGAATTTAAGTGCAGTAGTGAAATGTCCGAGATATAAATTTTGACGCCACGAAATTACAGACACATAAAATATTGTAAATAAGCAGGGCGAGGCCTATTTTCACAGGTAGTCATTTGTTAAGTTGTTAAATAGTTAATTAGTATCAAATACACAAAAAAAAGTTTGATACTGTATTAAAAAATAGAGCATATAAATAAAAACTCAAGAAAACAAAATGTATAAATACCTAAGCATAAATATAAGTAGGTACTTACCCGAGTTAGGAGTTCCAAGCACCGACGAAGGTCTAGGTTTAGGTTGATCATCTTCCATTGACGCCTCGACTTCCTCCCTGTATAAATTGAACAGAGAAGCTACGCATTTGAGCCTTAAAACCCCGCTATTGTGGTACGATTTGTGATCGATGAAGTGCTTCAAGCCAATACGAACGCTAACTTCATTTGGATTGAACGTTGACGGTATTTTACTGTAGTAACTATCATTCACCTGTAATTAAAAATCTAATTGCAAACAAAGAAAATATGAAATAGGAAAATTATTTACCTTGACTCCATTAACAAACCATGTCAGATTCATCGGGGGATAAGAGTATGGTGATGTACAATTGGCCATAACAACTTGACCTAAGTCCGATGAATAATTTCTAGTTTCTATTTGAGGTTTACTTTGGGGTACATCTGTAACAATTAATTACGAGAGTTAACAAGATTTTCGTTAGCACCATTGGTTTTTACGACACTATATTCAAAATGCAATATGGAAATCATATAAATACTTTTTATACCTAATAAATTCGGAAAAGGTTGTTAAAGGTGTATGTTTGGAGCGTGGCGCTGTATGGGTGCGAAACATGGACAGTGGACGCGGCGGAAAAGAAAAAGTTAGAAGCGTTCGAAATGTGGTGTTACAGGCGAATGATGAGGATTTCGTGGACAGAGAAGGTTACAATTGAAGAGATATTAAAAGGAACAGCAGAATAGAGGATTCTATTGATGTCAATGAGAAAGACGCGAGATAGGTTGGTAGGACACCTTCTCGGGCATGACGGTCTAGTCAGAGACATATTAGAGGCAGAGACGGGAGTTAGGAGGGGTAGAGGTAGACCTCACAGAGATACTGAATGAATAAAAGTGAAAAATTGAGAGACTCGTGTCTCTCGTAGAAAGACTGGGACTGGGAATGTTGAACTTAGAAAATTTTAACCATGTCTATCGAGACACCACTTATTGAAAGATTCGAGTCTCTCGTTCCGAGACTGGATACGAAATGAGGGTCTCTCTATGCCACACCAGAGAGACTCGATGAAAGACGGAGACTTGAGTCTCGCTTTCAGAGACTCTGAGAGACTGAACATTTTTATCTCGGATAGATTACTGTTCGCAAATAGTTAAGGATGTGGGTTCTGGTTTTGGGGAAATGCGAAGATTAGCTCAGGATAGGAAAGAGTGGAGGTACGTGTTCAACCAGTCTTAGGACTGACGCCGTTATGATGATGATGATGATGATGATGATTAATGTATCTGACGTACTACCAGAACACAATCAATTGTTTTTGAGTACCTATAAATATATTTTTGTGGTCATATAACTTATAACGACTTAAAATTCTGCACAAAAACATTAAGCAAAATATTAAATATTTCTGGTTCACCCCGTATACGTTAGATGTTAAAGACTGAAGAAGACATCTGCTAACGATAAGTGTGGCGAAATTAGTGTGTTAAACTTTAGAATACACAAGCCGAAAAAGCTTAGAAAAAGTTAAGAATGAGGGTTGTTCTAGTTTTAGGGAAATGCGAAGATTAGTTCAGGATAGGAAAGAGTGAAGGTGCGTGTTCAACCAGTCTTAGGACTGACGACATTGTGATGATAAAAAACTTTTTTAAGGGAAAGAAGAGCTATTTTCGTTGGAGAAGCTACAGATCACGTTATGCATATGGCGCGTTATTCGAGAGAGAGCTTTACCCAGATACCTACTAAATACTTGGAGTTGCATCTTCGGATAAGCATATTTTTCCAAGAGAAAATCCGTAACGATGCACTCTGTTATCGTAGATGCACACATTGGCGGCAATCACGTATTTTTCCGAACAACCCGTTTAACGGGTACATTTACCACACACACACACACACACACACAGACACACCCCCTGCACACGTTCAACCCCTCTCTCGCATACATATTCTCCTAGGACGATCCACGATAAGAGCGGCAAACGTGTCGATTTGACGGCGGCAGGATGACATTAAGAAGCACTCTACACCACCGCAGAGAAGGGTGTATTGGGACTTGCATAAGACTCCATTAGAAACCCTACAGCGGCCCTATTTAGCGGCACTATCTACTACTGCTATTTCACTTATCTTATCGTGGCGAATATTAAAACGAATATCGATTTGATTTGAGACCTAAAAACGTTGTCGTGGTTTATCTTTAATTTTTGGGCTTCAACAAGTGCTCGATACCGAAACCTTTTTCGCCTTAACGGAAAAAGTTTTTAAACACGAAGGGAAGTTTCGTGAACAATCCTCCGATAGTTAATCAAGCGAACGGGAATGTTTACCGAAGAATGCCTTTTCCGGAAGCGTCATGGGGACCATAAATCTTAAGAAAATATCCGAATTTTTCCAAGTAGAGTGTAATTTAAAAATCGATTTTATGTCAATCTTATAGCATCTCGTAAATGGTGTCTCGACCTACTTTACATTAAAGTTTAATTTTTCTACTCGATATTTTTCGCACATTATCTGCATGCGTCTTCAGATTTCAATTTATCTGTCACACTCTAACAGTCTTAAAGATAAATGCATGTTACGTCTAAAGGGTATCGATTCAATAGTTCTATCTTTAACATATTCATGCCTACTTTACATATGCAGCTTACCAATCAAATAAAGATTAATTTGGAAAAAGAAAAGGTTAGAAGCGTTCGAAATGTGGTGTGTTACAGGTCAATGATGAGGATACCGTGGATAGAGAAGGTTAGAAATGAAGAGGTATTAGATAGAATAGGAGAACAGACGACTCAATGGAAGTCAATAAGAAATAAGCGGAAACAAAAAGTTAAGGATATGAGATGTACTAGTTTTAGGGAAATACGAAGATTAGCTCAGGATACAGGAGAAAGTGGAGATGCGTATCTAACTAGTCTTAAGACTGATGCCCCATGATGATGATGATGATGATGCTGATTTTCTGAATAATTATTAATCCCTACAAATTATGTTACAATGTTTTGAATGACTGAACTTTGTCAGTCAAAACAAAATCTATCTCATCAAAACGAAGCAGCGCTATTTTGGGGTTATTCCAATAACGAAGAAGCTTAACAAAAACAGAAAATACTTTTTATTAGAACGTTATTTGGTTATCATGCAAATGATTCCTGTTATGCACATGTAAATTTGACTGAATTCGATGCATAAAGTTTACTTATTAACGAAAAAACTACATTTGTTATACGTTCGTGATCCATTCAATTCATAGCGTTTGACAGACGGATAATTCAAATGTCATTTGTCATACAAATTTGAAAAAGTTTTTATAATTACGATTTCTGCATGTATAATATACATCAAATCCCTCAGAACACATGTAAATTTGACTGAATTCGATGCATAAAGTTTACTTATTAACGAAAAAACTACATTTGTTATACGTTCGTGATCCATTCAATTCATAGCGTTTGACAGACGGATAATTCAAATGTCATTTGTCATACAANTTGTATATAAGTTGTATATATTTAGTTCCTGTTTGTTACTTGTTTTGCTGTTTGCCGTTTATATTCATTATTATGTTTATTATATATGTATTCAACTACCCGGAGCCTTTTATTAAACAACCCCTAGACAAGTGAAAAACCCTACATTAGAAGTATTGTTTGATGATTTTGAACCATGCCAGAATATAGAGGAGGCCGAAGTCATCTGTGAGAGTGATGTAGTTTTATCAGAAGTAAGTGAAAAAAAATCTAAACACAATGATGAAGAGCCAGTCATCCAGGCACGTGCCTTGGTTCAGGTACCTGCGTTCAGCAATAGTAACGTCATTGCGTTCAGCAATGGAAATCCCATTGAGTTCGGGAATGGGAATCCCATTGGCAATTCTCCATTTATTACCATTAATTATTATCAGTGGTAATNGTAATGCCATTGCGTTCAGCAATGGAAATCCCATTGAGTTCGGGAATGGGAATCCCATTGGCAATTCTCCATTTATTACCATTAATTATTATCAGTGGTAATTTAATGGCATTTTTTTAATGGAAATTGAATGGAAATTTTTCTTACGGGTATGCACCACTTCTATTTTCGGGCTTGAACTAGTCACGCTACTAGTTTCAGTTTGTCAAATTGTTGTCGTTATCTGTGGATACTCAATTTCCAATTCACTCTGATATTTTACATTCGACAGCCCAAAGAAAGCCGATGGTTATCTGTTGGGATTAGAAATTAAATCTACCATTTTCACATATTTCTTTTCTGAAGAAGCAACAGCTTTGTAACAGTAAGACGAGGTTTAAAGTCTACTAGTGAAAACATAAACTTGTAACAATCTACTAGTGTATATACGAAGTGAAAAGTTTTACGAAGAACATTTAAGCGGTTGTCCATCTGGGCTGCGCCTCAAGGCGTTTTCTTCTCTCTCTTCTAGACTCGCAACGCGGAGCCCTTTATGAAACTACTTAAATTCTTAAATTGTCATTTCGGCGTGTCTCGTCAGCGGAAACCAAGGAACTCTAATTGCAGAACTTATTCCCCGAGTTTATGGAAAGCACTTAAATGCTACGCCGTAACTATCTTCAACGGAATGAAATGAAATGTTTTTATGAGAGTAATGAAAATCGCAAAATAAACGTGCAATATTCCGCCGCCGTTTTCGTCATCATTATTATCATTTTGTGACAATCAGGTCGGAAAACAGGAAAAGACAAAGACATTAGGATCACAAACTTTACCATCAAGGTAAACCAACTTTTAAAGTTTGACACTGAAACAAAACTATGACGATGAGCTGACAATAAGAACGCAAACGTCTGCTTACATTACCCTCCTTCTAGAAAATTTGGACGATAGATAGAAATACAGTTCTAGAAGGAGCAAGATAGTCCTGTTTTGAATTAGAAAATTGCATACTAGTAGTTTTACCCTTAACACGACAAAAGAGTAAATAAATAAAATTGCAACTATGATTAGATATATAGTCTTAAGACTGATGATCGGATATCGGACAAAAACGTCGACTATCCGTCGTGTAATTCGTTCAGAGAAAAAATAAAAACCAAACACCAGCAATAACAAATTAAGTATCACAAAAAATTACCTAATAAAAATTGGTAATTAAGATTGCATTGAGGTAAGCCGTGTATCCTAATTTGTATTATTTACTAATTACTATACTATTTATTTGTTACTTCGAGCTTGCAGACTTTTAGTGTTTATAAACATTATAAGCTCGTTTCAACGGTTTGAACTCAACCCTCTCGTTGAAAATCCACCAACCAAAAGTGTATATACTTAATTGGAACGTTCACAATTGGCATAATACGAAATAGAGCTATCGCATTTACTTTCTTCTTTTAACTTACTAAATAGATTACAGCAGTTGTTAATAGAAGGTCTAATTTTACTCTCGACAGACGTTATAGGGAATATCGTAAATAGAAAAGAGATG